TCCCCCCCCCCCCGGGGGGAAACGGCGTGTTTAAAGCCGCTCTGGCAGGGGCCACCGCGCGAGCGGGTGCCGGTGACCGCTCCTGAAGGCCAGGGCCTGCCCGCGCTCCCGCACCCTGCCGGGCCCGGGGAAGGGGCGCAGACGCCCCCCGCCCCGTCCGCAGAGCCCCCGGCAGCTCCGCGCGCCGGGCCAGGGCAGCCACAGAGCCCACCCTCTGCGGCCCTGCCTCCAGAAAACACCCTCACAGCCTCCGGGAACAGGGCGAACACCAAATCTCATTCCATACCGAACTGCAGGCTCTGCTGTTCAAGGAACAGCTGTAATTCCCAAAACTGAATTTAGAAGATAGGCCTCCAAGCATCAAAACGTTCAAGAGTGGACACAGCTTGAGAGCTCTAACAAATCCCTTAAAAGTGCATACTTCATAGAGAAGTTCCTCGAGGATTCAGAAAACAAGGAAATAATTGTTTGGTCTTCCTAGCAGCTGAGTATCCACGTGGCCTCCTCACACTCGCAAGGTGCAAGTATTTCTCTCAATGAAGCAGTGAGCTTTTATTAGACAACATTTAATCCCTTAAGACCTCCCAGTCTGCAGTCCACCCTGGAGAGATGTTAACGACATTGCTTAGTATGCCATTGCACGGCACCCAGATGCTCCTGTGATGGCAGCAGGACAAAAACGGCGCTCGGTAAGAATTAGCAAAGCTTTAGGCACAGAGGATCATAGTTCAGCTTTCTACTAAGGTCGTCATCATCATCTGCTTTGATGCCAGCATTTCCCAAGAGGCTAGTCTGAAATAGTCTGGTCAACTGTTCACACTAGTTAGAGCCATCCATCTTCCACTTCAGTTGCTTTCAAACCCAATTAAGATTCACAAAAGAAACCATTGCTTTTAATAAATATGTTTCTCCTTAAATCACAAGTCACAGGTATCAGGTTTTTTCTTTACCTACACGTACCATTCCACCAGGACAGCTCAGATCTCACACAGCCCGATGTCTGCACAGTCTCCGGTTCTACAGACAACCGTACCCCTTCGGATGGCACCAGATCAGGACAGCCAGCTCCCCTGCCAGCATTTCTCCTCTATTTTCCTGTACTGTGACAAAGATTTCTGTACCGACGGGAGACAGAACCAGGAGCCACCTTTCCTCCCCACAAGAGCACAAAGGTTCAGGAGTAAAGTTTACCTCAAAGAAACAGTTCCCAGTAAGCTTTAGCATCCCCAAGCAGCACCTGTCCCCTTCTGGAAGGAAACCATCACTATAGGTCTCGAGAACACGCAAAACAAGTCAACACATATTTATTCTATGTTACAAAGACACCGATAAAGGAAAGTTTTAAGTTAGAGGTGGGAACTGTTAAACCAGACAATGAAACCAGGAGGTGAAGTGACACAAGTCCTCACACCCAATAATGTCTCATCTGCTACCTGAGTCTCTTCTCCAGATCAGCAGCAATGAAATTATGAAAATATGCCACTGTTTCAAGGACATGATACACTAATGGCCAGTCCCACCCTACTGTGTTGGATTTAATAATGGCATCGAATTTCCTTGAAACACAGTCCAGATGTTCTGCTGAACCCCAGGGAAGTTACAAAGCCCAAGGGATCCATCCTTTCCCACTACATCCTCCTGCTCCATCCAGAGATCACTGGGCACCAGCTGATGCATGTGACAACCTGGACGCGGCAGAGTCCAGCTGGGCCGGTTGTTCTGAGCGGCTGAGCAGGAACTGTTCTCCTAACAGTCCAACTCAGGGGATAACAAGAAAGCAGGTTTAACAACTATGGACAGAACCTTTATGGAAATAAAAGGGGTGGCTCCTTAACAGATTCAGATTAAAAAAAAAAAAAAAAGTATGGTTAATCTGAACACATTAGCTTGAACCACAGCCAGCAATTGTTTATATATTGCTGCCTACGGACATCCTTGAAGAGCCTACGCAAAGTTTATTTTTCACTTCACAGCTTTCCAAATAGACTATATGGTGTTCTCCAGTTTCAATCCATTCCTTGAATAGCAGCAGCAAATCCTGACCATAGGACCATTCTGGGTATCTCAGCAGCAAAAACAAGGAGTAGGTGGTCTGTAAAACACAACATCTACTTCAGTCAAGTCTGAATATCTGCTCTGCCTCTAGGTGAGCACCTTCACCCAGTTATCCTACTCACACAGTTAGTGGGAGAACTGTAAATATCTTGAAACTTGCCTGCATCTGAAAAGCTTAAAAGCTCAAAAGCTTAATATATTTTCATTCCCAAACACACACATAGAGAGATACTGAATGGGGGAGGGGAAACAATAGTGGAGTTCCTCAGCAACTAGCCCGAACTTCAGTTAGCAACTATTTTTAAATGGGATTTAATGATGACAAGCATTGGCTCAAATATTCTCTTTTTCTCCCTAAAGCAAGAATTCTGGAATTTACTTTCATTCTTCATAGTAAGCTGCATTTTGCTATAGTAATTGCATCTCTCTTCCTACAAAAAACCTGAATTGTTTATGTGAAACATATCAGTTGACTTTCACCCCCACCTCTTTCCACAAAGGCTCTGTTCACTTCCTCCACGAGGAGCGACCGTCCTGAAAGCTTTGAAAGTCCCAGCAGTCGGCACTTAGGCTTCCAACATCCTCATTCCTAATGCAACCTCCCATCCTGTTTCTTCTCAAGCAGAAGCCTGAGATGCTTTAAGTTTCCATGTTCTGAACTTCCACATAACCCTGCAACATCTCCTTGGCATTTCGTCACTTTGAAGCTGCCCAGCTGGCACGTGCCATCTCACTGCCAAGGAGCAAGCACTGCACCCCAGGACGGCTCTGAACAGCACGGACCGATGCTCCATCACTTACCGGTGCTGAGCAACAGACACGGGACCAGAGAAAAATCCCTCTAGTGGTTACTGTGCTCCAACAGTGCACAAAGGCTCTGATCCCACTAAGTACACAGTTTGGTGTAATTAAACTGAAAGAAGTTGGAGTTTTATTATTTTTATTAATAGCCTTCCTTTTTTCCTTGGCTTGCACTCAAAGAAAACCTATCTCATTCAGCTTGTAGATTCCAGTCAACATTTCAAAAACAAATTTCATGTTGTTTCACCAAGTCTTAATAGTATTTATATTAATTCATACATACAACATAAATTTAGCTTTTAGATTTGCAACAATTAATCTTTACTATGAGAAAATATTATTTACATTTGTTGCAACATTCATTTTTCTATTTTCTAACAGTTTCAGAAATTCTAAAATTCATTGATTTCTTATTTCCCCCCCTAACAACCCTCCTTGATAATTAATATTGATGTCTATTATTTGAAACTTCTGGTTTACAGAAGACAATGGGCATTTCCAAAGCAAAACCAGCAGCTAAAGCAAACTGCTTTCCTTAAAGGTATTAAACCATTCAATTTATAAAGGATTTATTATAAATTGATCCTTAACAGTTTGCAATGATGACAATTTAACAAACAATTTCTCCAACTTACTTGCCGCTAGCAGATTTAGGGACAGCATAGTCTGGAAGTCACAAAACTATTCTAGCAAGAGAAATTCAGTTTGCCAAGTAAAAATGAATCCCAAATGTGGTATCAAATTCAAACTCTATTGAAAGTACATAAAACAGAGCTACTGGGTGCATCCCAGCATAATGGGTTCAGAAAATGCAATGTAAGGAAGCCACTGCGTCAGTGCAGTTGTTAGAAACAGCCTGTAAAATCACAACTGGTGTTATGTTACACCACCACCATCAACGAGTTATACTGACAATAGCCACACACATCTGATCCAATGCTCTCACAACTCAGGGATCTCACTGTTGAGAGGTATGGCCTGTGAAGTTTCATCTTGAGCTGAATTCTGCACATTCCCTTCTCAAGCGAGGAGTTTCCAACACTCGGCTTCAGATCCATCAGGCACCTATATTTTTTTACTTTAGTTAGAATTGCACATGATGTAACACCACATTTTGAGGATAAATAATACATCACCCATGCTATTCCTACAAACTCTACAGTAAAATATGATCCACAAAAGTCTGTAAGATCCCGAGAGCATACTCCAGAGGTCTTGCACTGCTCAACCAGACATCATTCCGAGTTATTCCAATAAAACACAGAATAGCTCCAGACTAAGTATACTTTAAGAAGTGCTCAGACAAACCAAACCAAGGTCCAGTTTAAAAAGTCAAAATTATTTTTACTATGCATACCACCTCTTCCCTGTAAAGATCATGAACTCCAACAGTTGAGCAACACACAGAGAAAGATTTCTACAAAAAAATCAACTTCCTTTCACACAGAAAAGAACATTCTCCAATGTAAACAAAATCAATTCCATAGACAAGTTTAATATTCATTTATAATTATCCTTCTAGTGATTCTGCTTAATCAAAGCTTAAAAGCAAATCAAATAGAAGAAAGCACTCTCCACCCATGCAAGCTCCAGAACAAGAGTGCTGACAGATTTTACTGTCCCAATTCAGACCTTTGGAGGGTCTACATTTCCCCAAAATGCCATGTGTGGCTGCTTGAAGCATAAACAAACTCCTCTGTACTTACCCCTCTGCAGTAGGGGTTAACTAAGGATCAAGTGCTGGGACACATAAGGTGAGAATTACTGAATTATAACATCTCCTAGCTTCTTCCCACTAAACCTGAAAACCAGAGGCTCTCCTTTCCCCTTAGGCTGGGAGGAGGGGGTGAAGAAGGGGGGTTGTGACTCAGATCACCCCAGTATGTCAGCTCATCACAGAACACATGGAGTCACCCTGAGGACAGAAAAAAAT